GGAATCAACTACTGGCAGTGGGTTTGGTCTCGGTGTTGGTCATGGGCTGTGTGCAGCAATTACAAATATCATTATCTCACTGCCAGTGAGGCTTTTGTCTAGTTTCCGATGTTTCAGCTGTGAACGTGTATGGCTGTGTAGTCAGACGAAAAACATCCGTTATGTCTGAGGCACCCACACCTAGGTGCAGGGCATCCCTCAGACCTCACCGCCGTCGAGGAGATGCAGACTCACAGCAAGCCTGTGGGACACGTTAAACTGCCGCTGAGTTTCCTAGACTTTAACTGTTAATGGGATAGGAAGCTCCGTCGTTTTCACGTTGGAGCGACTGGTAGTTTCCTAACTCGGAATCACGACGCCACCATGGCTCAGTGTTATCCCAATAATTATGTAAAAAATCTATGTGTTTACCCCAAATAACAACAAAACCCGAGCTCCCCCAACCCCACCCCTCTCTCAGTCAACAGGTTGCGTGCTCAGACACCCACAGTTTGTTCATGTTTTTCATTTGGGCTTGCCTGGGTTTTCCAAGCGCTCAACTATCAAGAGGTTTTGCTCTCTGGTTAGCGCAGAGAGGAAAGACCAGAAAAAGTTGCTAGAGTTGGTTTAAATGGAAAAAAACTCCCCAGTGTGCGAGCTTCCGTCAAGCCCGGAACGCGGCGCGTGCCCACGGGGCCGCCCACGGTCTTGCGCAGACCTCGCCTCGGCCCCGCCTCCCGGCGCGCAAGGCCCCGCCCCGAGCTTTCAGAGCCCAGCCTGCGTAGGATCCAGGCAGTGTCAGTCAGCCGCTCAGAGGCCACGCCCCGGCGTAGAAGACACGCCCCTATACGCGACCCGGCCCTGCCCACTCGGTTACGACTTTGCGTCTACCCGGCGGGCTTCCGCAGACTGCCGCTCAGGGCCCCGCCCTATTCCCCGCCCACTCGCGGCGTCTCTGCGTGCGCGCCACGCCCTCCCTGGGCTTCCGGAGCCGGGCGGAAGGGCGGGCGCCGGCAAGGCCAAGGGCAAGGCCAAGGCCAAGGCTGCAGGGCGTGGCTCCCCGTGGTCCGGTGCGCACTTCCTTCTCCGCCCTTGTTCGCGAGCCCGAAATGAGAGACAAGGGGCCGGCGGAGCCTTCCCAGGGACGCGCTTGGCCAGTCCCAGCCGGACCCCAGAGGGAGGAGCGACAAAGGCATTGGTCTGCCCATCCGAGGTGGACGGCCGCAAAGCCCGCCCCTGCTGGCCGGTGCCACCCGATGCAGGGAAGGCCGGCCCCGTTCAAGGAAGCAGCTGCCACGTGTTGAAATCCGTGTGCACCTCCCGCTTACCTTCGGCGTCACCCCAGTAGCCCATGTAGCTGCCCAGCCAAGGTGTCCATCCTCAATCACCCCTTTACCCAAGGCCATGTGAGGGAAGCGGCAGAACGGGGAATCAGGACACAACCTCAAATTCGAAATCTCACCCCCTGTGCTGCCCCTGGTGGAGAAGTGGTTAAGAGTTAATCTATGCAGTTGGAAACCACCAGTTGATCCCTGGGAGAGAGATGGAGCCATCTATAACCATAAGAGTTAGTCTCCGGAGCACATGGGGGCAATTTTACTCTGCCCTGTAGAGTTGCTATCAGTCGGAATCTACGCGATGGCAGTGTTTGGGCTTTTTTCCTTCTTTCTTTCTGGTTGGTGCTAGCCCTGGGGTCAGTTTCCTCCACCGTAATCTTTTTCTCAGCTCCGTGCTGCCCACCCCTCCGAGCCGCAAGACCCCTCTACCCAGAGTTAAGTCCCTTCTTCCCTTTGAAGCCATCTAGCCCAGCGAGCTCTGCCCCAGCTGCCTGGAGAGTCTGTGCCCAGGTTTGGCACCCACCTGAAAGCCAGGACCCTCCCTTGGTCCAGTGTCCATAGAGGGCACAGGGAGATGGGTGGTTGGGGATGGACGGCTGGGCCAGGTGGGGAGTTGAACATGAAGGATAGACGTGAGCCCAGGAAACCACCCTCAGACCCCAGCACCACCAAGCCTGCCTCTCCAGTCTCCCTTCTTTACCCTCCTGGGGCCATTCTTGCTTTTCAGCTGTTGTTCACTGTGTGTGGCTTCCCACGTTGGCACACAAAAGCCCATGACGCTCACTTGGCAGCAACCAGGACTGAGCGAGGCCCCTGGCCCAGCCCGCCTGCAGGAATCCAGATTTTTCTAGCTTCCAACTGCACCTCGGAGAGGAAGCTGTGCGCTTGAATTTTTTTTTTTCTGGCTCCATATTAAAGAACAAAGCCTGGGAACTGGACAGTCCCCTCTGTAAACAGAAAACACATGTTTTTCTGAAAGAATAGGCTTTCCTTCCCCCCAGTTTCTTTCCCCTGGACACAGGCCTGCTTAGGCCGCTGGCTCAAGAGCAGGAAGGCCTTGGCTGGGCCCTAGGCCAGGGAGATGACTCATCTTGGACCCGCCTCGGGACCAGCAAAGCACCTTGTTCCTACCTGAGCTGCTCTCTCTTGGGGCTCTCTACTTCATACACAGGGCAAAAGGGAGGCCAGCTCGGGGCCCAACTGCCAACCAGACTGCTATGTGGTCATGTGTAAGTTTCTTAACCTCTCTGAGCCTCGGGGCTCTCAGGTCAGATGGGGATAACCCACTAACTGCTCCGAGGTAGAGAGAGGAGGCTTTCCCGTCCATTCCTGGAAAGATGTGCAGTCTCGGGAACTCTATATAGCAGCTCTACTCTGACCTACAGGGTGGCCAGGAGTTGGAATCAACTTGGCAGTCTGAATTTGTTGTTGTTTATATTCAGGTGGTTAAGAGTTAACTGGGATGACGGGGTGTCGGCCTGTCAGACACATAAGAAATCAACTTGGTCTCTGTTGCAATGCTGAGCTGTTTCCATGAGCGAGCGGCCTAGACTCCTTTCTTCTAGAGGCACCTCCACCTCCCCCACCCCTCCCCGGGCACACAGTCTTGCCAGGACTCAGCCACCACCCCCTGAAACCCCTTCTGGCACCCATGTGGAAGCTGCTGTCTTGGAAACGGAGACTTCCTTTGAATCCCCCCAGCAGGCTGACCTGTGTCTCTGAAGGGAGATTTGGTTTTGGGGAGGAACCAGACATCCTCAGGGCCAAGTCCGCTTTGAGTGGCGGCTCGCTGGGAGGCTAAGCCAGGGCTCTGGCCCAGGGCCGGGAAGTGCCTCAGCTGGGAGGGCAGGAGCCCCAGTGAAGCAGGCAAGAGCCTGTGGCCGGAAGCACTAGCCCCTTGGCCACCAGGGCTAGGGCTGTGAGCTCAGCAGCCTGTGTGTGCATGCTCGTGCGTGTGCACATACAAGTGTGTGCATGAAAACACAAGCTGCCCAGGCTCTGGCCCGTGAGTGAGAACAGCCACCACCTGTCTAATTAGCCATGGCCTCTTTTCGCTTCGAGTAGTCCTCCACTTTGAAGGGAGACGTCGGACAGTGTACGATATGACAAAAGAATAATATATAAATTACCAGGGTTCATGAGGGAGGGGGGAGAGAGGAGGAAGGGGGGAAATGAGAAGCTGATGCCAGGGGCTTACGTGGAGAGCAAATGTTTTGAGAATGATGAGGGCAATGAATGTACAGATGTGCTTTACACAATTGATGTGTGTATGGATGGTGCTAAGAGTTGCATGTGCCCCTAATAACACGATTACAAAAGAACAACAGCAACAAAAAAGAATTAGCTGGCTTTCACAAGACCCCAAAAGCCAGACACAGGATGGAGGGACTAGAGCAGGTTTGTGGCAGCGTGTTTTGTTTCCTGGCTGTGGCATGACGGTGACAGGGATGTGTGTGTGTTGTCAAAGCTCATTGAGGCCTTGACCCCAACTCTACCTTACAAATCCAGCTAGCCTAGAGCATCTATACTCAGAGCATCTATAAGAGTTCGAAACACGGAATCCAGGACAGATAAACCCCTCAGGACCAGTACTGAGAGCAGGGACGCCAGGAGGGGAAGGAGAAGGTGCGGGGAGGAGGAAGAACTGAGCACAATGATCAACATATAATCTCCTGCCAGGGGGACGGACAACAAAAAAGTGGGTGAAGGGAGACAGTGGTTGGTGTAAGACATGAAATTAAAAAAAAAAATTATCAAGGGTTCATGAGGGAGTGATTGGGAGGGATGAGCTGGTACCAAGGGCTCAAGTAGAAAGAAAATATTTTGAAAATGATGGCAACATATGTACAAATGTGCTAAACACAATGGATGGATGGATGGATTGTGATAAGACCTGTAAGATCCCCCAATAAAATGATTTTTTTAAATGACACTCAAGTATTAGGTAAAAACCAAAAACCAAAAACTCATCGAGGCCTGAGAGGGGGCACAACTCACTGTGGGATGGCACTGCAATAGAGTTGAGCTCTAGTGGCCCAGTGGATTCCAAGTTTATGGTCAGCAGTTCAAACCCACCAGCTTCTCCTTGGGAGAAAGATGAATTTTCTGCTCCCTGCTCCCGTAGATATTTACGGTCTCAGAACCCACAGGGGCAGTTCCACTTCCACAGTCCTGTCCTGCAGAAGAGCCCCCCCCCCCAAGATTTCATGGGAAAATGTCATTATCTTTAAATGCCGCATTTTCATAAAGTTTTTGAAAACCCAGATCAGAGGATGTACACTGGTACAGATAAGAGCTGGAAACACAGGGAATCCAGGACAGATAAACCCCTTTGGATCAATAATGAGAGTAGTAATACCAGGAGGGTAAGGAGAATGTGGGGGAACCAAACACAATGATCTACATATAACCCCCTCCCTGGGGGACGGACAACAGAAAAGTGGATGAAGGGAGAAATTGGACAGTGTAAGACATGAAAAAATAATAATTGATGAATTATCAAGGGTGAAGGAGGGAGGGGGGAAATGAGCTGATACCAAGGGCTCAAGTAGAAAGCAAATGTTTTGAGAATGATGATGGCAACAAATGTACAAATGTGCTTGACACACTGGATGGATGGATGGCTTGTGATAAGAGTTGTATGAGCCCCCAATAAAATGATTTTTTTTAAAGTCTTTGAAAACTGTGCTCGCTTCGGCAGCACATATACTAAAATTGGAACGATACAGAGAAGATTAGCATGGCCCCTGCGCAAGGATGACACGAAAACCCTGTGTGTGTATATAAATGCATGTGTGGTTCTGACTTGTATTGAGCCTGAGGGTTTCCAAGACTGTAAATCTCCGAGGGAGCAGACAGCCTCATCTTTCTTCCCAGGAGCGGCTGAGTTTGAACCACTGACCTCTCAGCAGTCCAGTGCCTAACTCACATTGTCACCAGGACTATACACACACACACACACACACACACACACCACATCACATAATTTGCTGACATGCAGTAGATGCCGACTCAGAGCAGCACGATAGGGCAGCATAGAACTGCCTCCAGTGAGTTTAAGTCTGGAATTTTTTACCAGAGGAGAAATCCCCATCTTTCTCCCTCGGGTTGGCTGGTGCTTTCGAACTGCTGACCTGGCAGGTAGCAGCCCAATGAGTAACCACTACACCACCAGGGCTTCTTCTGCATCCACAGATAGCTTGAACATCATCCCAAAGAGACTTGATAAAGCGGACGCAGTAATTACCTCCTGGGTCATTTTTGTTTTCTTTTTGTTGCTTTTCCGAATTTCCATTTTTTCCTGTAAGGAGCGCTTCTATTTGATAAGCAACATTAAATAAAAGCAGACGTGTGCCTCTTTTCCAGCATCCAGCGTTGCAGGCCTACGATCCTGGTGGTCTGGTGGGTTAAGCCCTGCACCGCTGCCCCGGAAGCTGCGTGGTTGGAAGTCATGGATGAAGTCATCAGATTCCTTGAGGACCACAGTCTTGGGACTCCACTGTGAGGGGCCCTGTAAGTGGGACTCGGCTGGATAGCAGAGGGCTTATCTTGGAATAGCTGGCCAGCTCATGGGGCTGGGCTCCCGGTGGAAGTGGGTGTAAGGGATCCTGGGTCCAGAGGAAGAGAGCATTACCCAGCAGGCAGCAGTACATGGTGGCAGTGGGGTGGGGGCCTGAGAGGTCTGGGTTTCCCTCCCCTCCTTCTCTTTCTGCCCGCAGATTAAACCCACTTTGGGTCCACCGTGGCCACATGGGTCCCCACTGCTATGCTGGTTCTCTCTACCCTTGCCCACTCACCCTGCCAGAGTGGGCCTCCTGCATGAAAGCCCAGGAGCTGGCCACCCTCTCCATGTTTGGGGAAACTGAGGCACAATGGAGCAGAGTGACTTGCTTACAGGGTACCCTGTCCCTGGACTCTTAGTGCCTCCAATGTCCCTTCCCCCACCTCTGGCCTTTGATAGCTGATGAAGACAGGCCAGGGGCTGCCTCCTTCCTAAGTCTGCATTGGACTTAGCAGTTCTGCCTCTGAGATCAGGGCTCTGGGCTGCCACTGCTGGGTCATGGCCACCCCTGGACCTGCCATCTGGCCTCCTGGGGCTGGGTGGGGTGGGGGGGTGGGCATCGGAGCTCTCTGGTGGCCTTGTCTCCCTGCCAGGGGTCTACAGCAGCCAGTGGGGATGAATAAGAGATTGGAATCTGTTGAGAGCAGGTTTCTAACTGTCGCAATGGGGCGGTGAGGCCACAGCCGGCTAAGGACACTGGGGAAGGCAGTCCTGGAGATGTCACGGTTTATGACTCGGGAACAGGCAGCCCCAGGGTGTGTGTGGATTTGTGCCTGGGAATAAGGGCTGCAATCGAGGTCCCTTCGCCGTGGAATTCGGTGCCAGCTCCTGTGGGTCAGATTGTCCTAGCAGACCGGTGCTTCGGTGTAAAAGTTGGAGTAAAAGGGGAAAAAAACAATCGTGCATTTGTGTGTTTATTTATTGAGCAGTAAGGACATGCACTCAAATGTGAATGAGCAAAGCGTGTGGAGTCAAGACTCTCTGCGGCCGTCTCGTTCTTCATCTCACTTCTCCTCCATTTTCGCTCTCCTCGTTCTTTCTTTCCTTTGTTCCCTTGAGCCCTCTCCATTTGTCTCTGCCCCTCTCCTGTGCCTGCTTTCTCTTCCTCTCTTCCTCTCGTTTCCTACAGCTCTCCTCTGTCCCTCTCCGTGTCTCTTTCTCTCGCACCATTTCTCCTTCGGCTTCTCTTTCCATGTCTCTTTATCTCTTTTCTGCATTCTCCAGCTTCTCTAACAACAGCATCACTTTTCTGAGCAGGAGAGAGAATGTGCCGCGTACGGAGAGGTAACACCAGGGTCTGAGCTTGCTTCCACGGGCTAACGATGGCAGACCAGCGTCCGCGAGTACCTGGTGTGCAGCAGGCCCCCGCCCAGGTCTCCCCTGCCCTGGTCTCGGTGTTGTCAACCCTGCACACTAGGGACCCTGGGAGCCTGGGCCCGGTGTCCACGTGTCCGAGCCGGGCCTGACCGGCCTGCTGCTGACCCAGCAGGTGGAGTCTCAGGTGATGTCCTGCTTCCCAGAGGTGAGCATGTGCACTGTGTCCACGTGGCCGAGCCAGGCTGGCCGGTCTCAGAGGTGAGCACGTGGTTTCTCACACGTGGTGATCTCTGATGAAGTCATTAGTTTGTCAACCTTGTTTATGTAGACTGGGGATCCATTCTGTCAGCAGAATTTAGTGGAAGAATCACAGCTTCCACCACGCCCTGCAAGCCGATGGTGGAGTAAGTTATAAGGTGGGCTTCTGCCTGCAAGGTGAGCGGTTTGAAACCACCAGCTGCTCCAGGGAGGAAGGCTTTTTACTCCCAGAGAGCTGCAGCCTCAGCCGCACAGGGGCAGTTCTGCCCTGCCCTCTAGGGCTGCTCTGAGTCAGTCAGTTCAATGGCAGTGCGTGTCCCCCCCAACCTGAATGCTGTTCCCCGATTGCATGGCCCAGGCCCTAAGAAAAAGAAGGGGCCCTTGTTCAAAAGCGATGAAGAATTTCAAGGCAGGGGCCGCCGGGCATCACACCAATCTGGCACACCTCTGAGTGATGCCACAGGGCCACGCACCACCGGCCGCAGCTTCGTGCTGGACCTGGGCTCCTGCTGACCTACGCTGACCATGCTGCCCTTGTGTGAGCCATGCCATGCCCACCGCCCCTCCAGATCACCAGCCTCCCAGTCTCTTCTGAGCAGAGCGCTGGGCCAGCAGTAGGGTTCTGGGTGTGCTGGTGTGTGTGTGTGTGTAAGAGAGAGAGAGACAGAGAGAGAAAACCTCCAGATGGAATTTCAAGTCTGGCTTCTCCAGCCAGAGGCCCTCCGCCCCATCCTCAGCCTGTCCTCCTCTTGGGCCCCGTGCGTCCCTCCTGCCTCTCTTTGTTGCTAATCTCCGCCCCCGCCGACGCCCGGGGCCCGCGAGCCCAGACTTCCCGCCCAGACCGTGCGCCAAGATGGGACGGAGGTGCAGCCCACCGCCCCGCGCCCGGCCTAGGCCTCGGGCCCGTGAACTTGACCCTGAGCCCCTCCTCCGCCGTGAACTTGACCCTGAGCCCCGCCTCCGGCCCGGAATGGACTCCAAGCCCCGCCCAGATTGGGGCCGAGCTGGTCAGAGGTAAGAGGTCTTTGAAGCAAGGCCGCCCGCCCAGCAGTCACCGTCCCCGCCCCCTCGGTCTCCCGCAAACAAAGGCCCGGCCACTTGGGAAGGGACTCTCGGGTAAGTGGCCTCCTCGGGACTCTGGGACTCTTTATGGGAAAGAAGATACTGGGTTCTGCTGTCTTCCCTCTTGCCCCTCCCCCTCCCCAGGGCGCCCAGGCGTTAACCCTCTGAGACCCAGGTCTACTCAGGAGAGGAGGGAAACACCAGCAAAAAGCAAAGTCTGTCCCTTGGACCTCGGGCCCACTGCCTCTTGATGGCATCCCAGCTGAAGCCTGGGGGTGGACATTGCCCTGGCCTCCTATGCGGGCCTCCAGTGACTTCTTGGCATGTCTCCTGTGACTCCTGTCCTCCCTCTTCTCCCCGCCCACCCACCCAATTGATTTCCCAGGTTAGCCAGGGACCAAGCCAGGCTCCAAGGGCCACACTGGAGAGGAATCCAGCCCTTGAGGACAACTGGTCGGCTTCCACCCACTCCCCTCCCGTCAGTGGCCTAACCCAGGGGTCACCCACCATGGGAGTGGCAAAGCCTCAGAGGCTCTCAGAGCCTTGACTTGGGCCCTCCGGTGCAAGTGGGCCCTCTGGTCAACTGCCGCTGGCCTGCTGACCATACCAGGGACCACCTGCTTGCCCAATGGCCCCACCTTCCCAAGTCTCTACTAGTCTGCTGCCCCACCCCCAGGGCATCCGGACCCCAGTACTTTTTATTCAGCTGGGGCAATGGGTAGCATTCCCACGCAGGGGTGAGATGTCAGCCACCCCTGGACCTACCAGCTGCAGGACTGTGAAAAAGCTCTACTGAGCCTGGCAGGCTGTGGGGATAGGTGACCTATGACCAGTTCCTGTTGCTCCTGGACCAGGCCAACTGTCAGGACAGCCAGACTTGTCACTGGGTGTCTGTCTGTCTGATAGGGAGCCCTGGAGGGCCCAGACGGCCCCTTCTGAGGACTGGGCCTGCCTGCATCCCTTCCCCGCTGCCACCAGGTCATAACCCCTAGGTAAGTTGGTGTTACAAAGGAGGTGGGTCTGCTAGGGACCTGGGCCCAGCCTGGTGCTGGAGAAGGAAGCACCTAAGCGCTGGGGATGGTGGGGAGGGGAAAGCTTGGCCCAGCAGCCAGAGCCTCAGGCAGTGTCAGGTCCCACGGAGGTGAGCTCCCAGGCACCTGCAGTGCAGGTATCTGCTTCAGCCGCTTGGTTATTTGAGCTAATCCAGAGGAAAAGCTGGGCCATGCACAGTCTGTGGATGGTGACAGGTTGAAGGCATGGACCCCACCTTGGACTTCCTGACTGTCCCGGGATAGGGCTAGAACAACCAGGACTTCCCGCCCAGCTGTGTTCAAACCCCCACATGCCCTACTAAAGCCTGACCTCCCTGCTCCCACCAGTCCCAACTCCACAGTGCTGGGGGATCCATGTGGGGCACCCTGTGAACACACAGCAGTCAGCGCTCAATGAACTTGACCCAAACCAGCTCTCGGAGCAGCATTGCATCCCACTTGTGGCTTCTTCAGGAGTGGCCTTCCCAGGTGCCTGTGAGGGGGCTCAAACCGCCACCCTTCTGATCAGCAGCCAATGCACTTACGCTCATGGTTTGCACCAC